AAGCCACAGTTCTGAACCGTTATCAGGAAAGACAAAGGAATTGGACGCGTGATGAATAATGCATGTGGTTTTCATCCTTAGTTTGTCCATAGCAGTTTTACTTCAATGGATATGTCTGCTTCAATTGTTTTTTACTTCTATGTTTATTATTTGATTATCGTTTTTTTCGTTTTTTTCTTTCTTCACGTTTTCTGTTGTTCGTTTGTCCCTTCTGTGAGATCAGTAGCGGCTTCAGGTAGTTAGGGGGAGGGGGAGGGGGGCATGGCCTAACACAGGGTACTACAACCACTAATCATGATCATCATAATAAGGATGATAATAATAATGATAATTATTATTGTTTTCATTATTATGATCATTATCATCATCATTATCATTATCATTATCATTATCATTATCATTATTATTATTATTATTATCATTATTTATATTATTATATTATTATTATGATGACAAATAAATATCAAAATAATAATAATGAATAATAAATGATAATTATCCTCATTAATAATAATAATAATGAAAATAATAATAATAATAATAATAATAATAATAATAATAATAATAATAATAATAATAATAATAATAATAATAATAATAATAATAATAATAATAATAAATAATAATAATAATAAAAAAAGAAAAAAAATCATATCAATATCAAAAGTAATAACACACCTCAAAAAAAAAAAAAATCTACCCAACGATGCTACAGTCCCTTTTAAGTCACCCACAACATCCTTCGCTCACATCGCAAACAACATTTAACAACGACACATTTCCTTCTCAGCCTCTGGAACGCTCGTAACTTACCAGCGAGACCCTATTCCCACACCACCGAGCGTCGTAGCCATTGTTCTCTCTCTCCACCTCGATGTAGGCGCCGTGGCAGTCAACAGTGTACGCGGCGGACAGGTTGTGGAAGGTCATCAGTAGGTAAAGGCCAGGTTCCGTCTGTGCGAGGGAAGGGAAGTTCACGAATTAATAAATATTTTTGAATGGTCGGTGTATTTTTGAATGATGAGTGTTGTCTGAGTGAATAGATAAATTAAAGAATATTTTTGAATGATCGGTGTTGTCCGAGTGAGTAGGAAGTTGTATTAATTAATATTCTTGAATGATCGGTGTTGTTAGAGTGAATGGGTAGTTGTTTTGATAAATATTTTTGAATGATTGGTGTTGAGTGAATAAGATAAATTAATGAATATTTTTGAATGTTCGGTGTTGTCTGAGTGAATAGTTAGATAAATTAATAGATATTTTTGCATGATCGGTGTTGTCTGAGTGAATAAGATAAATCAATGAATATTTTTGAATGATCGGTGTTGTCTGAGTGAATGGAAAGTTGTATTAATAAATATTCTTGAATGATCGGTGTTGTCTGAGTGAATAATTAGATAAATAAATAAATGGTTTTGAATGATCGGTGTTGTCCGAGTGAATGGAAAGTTGACGAATTAATATTTTTGAATGATCGGTGTCTTATTGTTTAGGTTTGGGAGAATTTGGAAATCATGTATGACTAGTTTGGATTTTATGGGGTTTCGTCTCACAAGACAAGGGGATATGATAAAAAAAATAATAATGTAGGTGTTTTAACAGAGGTTTACATCCGACTGAAACATGTGGAAATATGTTGATGAAGGGAAGTGAAGTAACTCTGCTGATAAGTTTCGGCAATAGGATAATTACGAGCAAATAATATTACAGAGAAAATTGCATTACCTGAATAACAGTTACTTTTATTTTGGTTTACTTTGCCAAAGGAAATCCCTTGAGAGGCAAAGGTGAGAACAGACAATGACGTTACGTATAGTTTTACTATTCTCTTATTAAGTAAATAAGTTTCAGCTATATTGGGCTATAGTGGCTAAGAAAAACATATAAGATTATGTCAGCGATAATAATTTATGCAACTGTTTATAATAGCTTTGATAGATAGGAAAATGAAAAAAAGAACATAACATATCAGTGAATACGTCAATGAATCTTTGAAACAGGAAGTGAATCTTATAATCGTTAATTCCAAATTGCATCTAATTTGACACTTTCATAGTCCCTACCCAATAAGAGCCGACACACCGACACTCCAACAAGCAGAACTAACCCTTATGTTCCACTCGCAGAAGATCTGTTCTCCCTCGCGCGGGGCGGAGCGTTTAAGCCTTTCTGTCTCCGGGGGTGAATTCGGGTCGAGGAACTTCTTCAGCAACGCGTAAGGAAGTGTGTTGAGGTAGCTGTGGGCGGGGAGGCGGGCGTGAGTGGGCGGGGTGGGTGGATTTTTAGGTGTGTGTTAGCAAGAGGAATGGCAAGAATTACTTTTTTTCCGAAATGAAGGTTTGAATGGCTTGATGTCTGTACGTTCATGTTAGTGCGCATATGCACATGGAACCAAAACATGAATCACATAATTTTAGTTAAAAACCTTGTTTGATTGTTTATTTATTGTACAGTTATATCTCCCCTTCTTAACTATCTCAGAATTCGGTACAGACATAGCAATAAATAGATAAAAATGAAGAAATGGGGGAGGGCAAAATCACTCACTCGAAGAACTGAGGTCCAAGGAGGACATCGTGCTCGGACTTCGAGGCCTGCGAGGGGAAGTCTTCGGAGCCGAAGACGCTCCTGACGGCGCTGTCCTCGATGGGCCTCTGTGGTTCCTGACCGGTTGGATGCTGCCTGAAGTCCGACTCAACTGGCTTGGCACTTGGCACCTTTTGGAAAGTTAAAGCGCGTTAGTTTAAACATCAAGACTGCTGAGCGGTTAAATCATTTAACTCTCTTTTTCTTCTATATTTCTACATTCAGCATTTCAATTTCAAAGGAAGTCCCTGCGCCTCACCTTCCTGTAGCTGAAAAGAGCGGGGTCGATGCCAGGGACGTCGAGAGGAGAGTAGAAGGCAGAGTACACGCGGCCTGTGCTGTCGTGGAACCCGTGCTGCCCAGGCTCCTCGCGGGACTTGGGGAAAGACCACACCTGGATGCAAGACAGTTTAATAATAATTGCGGTTAATCATTAAACTATATATTGTACCTAAGTCGATATCTAAGAGAACGAGAAACTATAATTATCATCGTTAATTAAACTATATTATGGGCATTGCCCTTCGTGTTTTTTTGTCCATCCTGCAGCGTATGTTTTTGAAAGGTTTGTTTATGAGGATGTTTTATCAAATCACTATGTTTAACAAGTGGGTACATTTTACGATACGATATTTCTTAGTCACATACTTCACATAACTGCACATTTTATCATTATTAGTTACTTATAGCTCTTAGAAAAGCCTCACCTGATCATGCGCAGTGAATGGCTTTGACGGGGGAGGGTGGTTTTCGAGAACGATATTGCCATCATCGTCTTCCTACTACGACCTCCAGCGATGCAGGCTACCCATGGTTTTGTTCAGAGGTATACTTGAACCCTGGGCATCTGAGGTTTTGAAAGGAGCTGCAGAGAAGCCATTGTTGTAAGGTTCGGGATCGGCATTGTATGTCTGATCACGTGTATATTCCTCTATAGGAATAGGGAAAGGTCTGTCGCTGTCGTAGAGGGTTTCTGGCAGGAAAGGAGAATCATAAGAGTCTGCAAAGTCGATGGACGGAATTGGTGAAAATTCTACACTTGGGAGTGGCTTCTCCGACATGGTCCTTTCTGTAGTTGTGTTAACAGTGTCTACAGCATAGTCTGGTGCGTTGCCAAGGCGCTTGTCCTCCTGGCGAGCATGGAATGAGGTAGAGAGAGGCAGGGCAGATAGGGGTGCGAAGGTCGTAGTAGTCCGGGGTGGATTAGTCGTGATTGGGAAGGGTGTGTATTGAGGAGTCATAAGGTCCTCTGCAGAAGGCGTAGTTGCTTTGGTTCTCAGATTAAATACAGGGTTCGTTAAATCAGAAAGGTTGACTCCAGTGTATGCATCATGCTTGTAATAGTCCCCAGGATAGAGTACATCTTGTTTAGTGCCTATAGGTACATCCTCCACGGTACCTGTTCTTACACCATGTGTTTCTGGCTTCGAGCTCTCAAAACCAAATTGACTCGACACATCAACAGAAAACCCGGTGTTGTGTCCTTGAACGCCATGAGTTTGATGGGTAGTATCATGAGAGGCATGGGACGAGGAGCCATCTGATGAGCCTCCAAGTTGTGGAGCTTCCATGAGGAAGAATGGGTCGGGAGTCTTAACAACTGGTCGGTTGGGCTTGAAATTTGGTCCTTCTTGCTTATTTTCTGCGTTCTGAGGATACTGGTTGCCAACAGATCCAGCCACGTTGTCTAGAATACGATAGATCCCATTCAAGAGGGAATTTTCTTGTGTCTGCTGGGCTTCATTTTGTTCACTGCCTCCTAGAGAGTCACTAGAACTGCTTTCTGCCATCGTTGCATCAAAGTTCGATGAGATCTCATAAGTTTCAGCGGGTTTGTTCTCTTCTTTTGAAACTTGGCTCTCATGGTCTGTAACTTCAGGATTTTCAGGATTTTCACGGTATTCATACACAGATCCATCATTCTCATACGTTACAGGATCTCTGTAGTTTATGTTATCATCGTCGGCCTCATTTTCATGCTTTAAGGGAACATATTTCACCTCCACAGGCTCGTACTGGATATATACTGGCACAGCATTTGGACTTCCAGGAAGCTTGATAAAGAAAGGTGAGTCTCCCCCATATTCTGTAAAACCTTCGTCATCCTTACGGCTGAAAATTCCAGGAATATCAAAATGATTTGGAGGTCTTGCTTCAGCAGTTGAGCCTTCTTCCTCCCTAACTTTATCTTTTGAAACCTCGCCTAATCTATCAATAAAGGATGATGGAAGAAGGATTGTTGCAAGTTCTGGCTCACTTGTTGTTGATGACAAGCTCTGCTCAGTAGTCTTTAATGTTGCTTCATCATCATTCTTTATAACTTCACTCGTCTCACCTTCTCTTAAAGTCTCAGAGTCATTACTACTTTCCGTAGATGAGGAAACTGACTTCACGTCTTCAGAGCCACCAACACCTGCCGATCCGCGATCTTCTTGATGGCCACTCGGCTTGGTCTTTTGGCTCGCATAATTCCAGAAATACTCTGTAGGTTCTTCACGCACGGCAGGTTCAGCAGATACTGGGCTAGGGAGCTCTGTTCCTTTGCTTGCAGAAACCTTCAAGGTGCTAGCTGTGGTTGCAGTGGCATCAGGTTTGGCAGTTGTAATCTCCTGTTGGTCAGTGGTTGTTTTAGGTTCATTTGTGACATCTGATTTCTCGGACAGCTCGTCTGGTTTGTCTGTCATAGTTTTATCATCATGGGGCAGAGAATCAGTGCTTTCACCCTTCATATCCAGACTGATGATGTTATTGTCTCTTTCTTGTGTTTTCGTTGTAGTTTCTGGTTTGCTAGTTTGATTATTGGATACCTGGCTAGCTAATTCTTCTAGTTTGTCAATAAGCACGTCTAAATTGTCGGTTAAAGAGCCCGGTTTCTTAACCTGAACGTCTGGTTTGTCAGTTACAGTGTCTGGTCCTCTCGTTACCGCATCTGGCTCATTTGTTGTTTGTGTCTCATTTGTCACAACTTCATAAGAGGAGTTGGTAACATTCTCAATCGATATCCTTGATATGTCATTATCAGAGGAAGACTGTGTTGTAGTAAATGTATCATCTCTGCTATCATCAGTAACTCCTTGTTCTCTGGAAGTTTCATCATGAGCAGGGGAGCTAACTGCTACCTTGCTTCCCTGTTCCTTGATTATGACAGAGCTACCTCCACCCAATTTTTGATTGGTCAGAATTTCGTCCAGCATAGCCTGGTTTTGCAAGATAAGATATGGGATAGAAAACACTGTCGTTGTTTCTGTACTTTCTGAACTACTGTTTTCAGAGCCGTCATCGAATGAGGTATCAGCTACGTCATAGGGAATGGTTGTTACTTCCAAGCCATCACCTTCTGAACTTCTGGTTTGTAATGATGTTACCTCCATACTGCTCACTGACACTGTAGTATGTGGTTCAGCTGTTAATTTGACATCATCCATTGAGAATTCAAGAGTTGGATAGACATATTTTTGCCCAGAACTTGTAACAGAATTCACTGCTACATCATCTGCATTATCAGTCGTTGGTGAGACTGCTTGCTCGCTCTTGTTCTGACTGTATGGCCTGTCCTGAGCCAATAGAGAGTCCACAAGACTTTCATAGTAATCATAACCCTTGAAGCCATCTTCATCAGCAACATCTGGGTAGTCATATATTACTTCCTGTGTCGTTTCTTCTAGCGGGGCCTCTATGGTTGTCATCTCCAATATACTATGGTCCATAAAGCCTGCCATACTTAAGGAATCCGTTCTGATTGTTGTCTGTGGTTCCTCATCTTCCAGGCCAAAGGGTGATTCAGCCTCAGTCGTAACTTCTGCCTGAGCTTCATCCTCCACACTGTCACTCCTTATTAGCGTTATTTTATCTCGGTGTTCGACAGGAAGCTCTTCCGAAGTCAAGTTAGCATTTGTCTCCTCACTGCTGCTCCTGTTGTTTGCAATGTCGAAAAGGTCTTGTATGCTGATAGTGAAATCACCTACAGGGACATGTATTTCCTCAGGTGCATTCTCTAGGGCGTTGGTTAGACTATCAATTATCTCGTTAAATATACTATCTGTCAGAGACCCATCATTGCCACCACTTGTCTCTAGTGTTGTAGTATTCCTTACTACGTCCTCCTCATTATCTGTATCCTTGAGAGAGACTGAGCCATTGACAAGAGCGTCATTCTCATTAACCAACTCTGTGGTACTTACAGTTGTCATGTCTTTGAAGTCATCAGTTGCAGACATCATAGCTATATCTGCCTCCTCTAACTCATTAATTTTGAATCCTCCAGCCATTGTCGTTTGCTGTGTAGTAATTGTCATGTCGTCATTGTAAGGGCTTTCAGTTGACACAGTATCTATGTGTGCTACAGCTATAATTCTTTCGCCTTCTTCATTCACCACATCAGCCGGAAGAACCATGGGGGACAGTGTGCTTTGAGTAGGTCTGTCATCCTCTTTTACACTTCCTATTGGAGCCTGTGTGGTGGTATCGTCTTCAACGGTGTCGTCATAATCAAAACTACTGAGATAAGGGTTGGTCTCCCCCTCAGCCTCGTCACCAGGACGGTAAATATAGTCACCATAGTAGTAATCGTAAGCACCATCAGCTGAGAATCCATTCTGCTGATGAACCTCGTCATTCTCATGTGCAATTAATCCTTCACTTACAGTAGTTATATCCCCCGCACTCATTTCCAAATTAGCTCCCGATATGAGATCGTTGGGGATATACCTCTCTGTTGTTTCTTCAACTTCTTCTGTAATACGATTATGATAGTCAACTATCTCTGCACTACTTACTTCAGTAACATTCTCCTGGTCCGCACTCACAGAATATTCTGTTGTCAATTCTTCGTCAAGGAAATCAGTTCGTTCTGATGTGTCAGACAGATCCGACCGTTCCTTTGTATCAAAAGTCTCCTTTCCTTCTGTTGTATAGGAGATATCAGGTATCTCAAATCTTTCAGTGTTACCTGATGTTTCAGATGTAGCATCAAGCACATCCATCTTTTCTGTAGCATCGAAAATTTCAGGTGTTTCCGTTATGTCAGATGTTTCAGATCTTTCTGTTGCATTAAGGATATCAGATCTTATTGTAACATCAAGAACTTCTGAGGCTTCAGTGATGCCAAGAAGTGTTTCAGAACTTTCTGACGTTTTAGGCACTTCTGAACTCTCTGTGGTGTCAGCCGCTGCAGATCTTTCGGTGGATTGAAGCACATCAGATCTTTCTGTGACATTGAAGTTTTCCGACTTCTCTGTGACTTCAACCAATTCCGATATATCTGTGGTATCATACACTTCAGAATTTTCAGTAGCTTCAATTCTAATAGACTGTTCTGTAGTATCTAATACGTCTGACCTTTCAGTGATGTCAGGTGTTTCAGGGCTCTCTGTGTTATCATGCATTTCAGATTTCTCTATGCTGTTAAAATGGTTTGAAGGTTCTGTAGTTGCTAGCAGTTCTGATCTTTCAGTATTGTTAGATGTTTCAGACACACTTGCATTGGTTTTAGAAATGTTTTCTTCAGAACTTTCTTTGGAATCAGATGTTCCAGACTTTTCTTCTGAACCATGAATAATATCTGATCTTTCTAGAGCATTTTCGGCATCATCGCCACTTTCAGGAACGATTTCGTTGATGCTTTGTAAATCTGTTTGATATTTCAGAGTTGTTGCCTCAGACATGCTGGCATCACTCTCCTCTATTTTAGAAACCTTTACTTTTGATTCTACTTCTTCTGATGAAGAAATTTCCTCCGTTGTTGGGATCATGGTGGTTGTCCTAAAGTCCTCCTCACTAGTCACATCCTCCTGTAAGAATCCTGCAACTGCAAGTTCATTGAGAAACTCGGTGGTAACATCTGGTGGCGTTTTGTGCAGCAATTCCTGTTTCCAATGTTCCTTTTTCGTTCCTTCCCCGACTATCGTCGGTGCGCCATCGATAAGAACTCCTAGAAGGTGTTCTTGGTCTGCCTCTGTGGTTCCTGTGTGCTTCATATCACCATGAACTGTTGGCGGTTGCTTTAGACGATCTTGGCTTGTGAAGGGCGACTCCGTTCTTTCTCCCTGATCCCGTATTGGTCCGTCTGTAGAGGATTCCATAGAGTCCACCTGGAGATTCATTCCTTCCTCCCCTGGTGTTCTTGGGGTGATGGTTGGCTGCCTGCTCCCTGAAGAGGTCCATTCAGTCACCCCGTCGCCTGTGGTCTGTTCTCTGTCTCCCGAAATAGTTCCAGTCTCGCTGGGTTTCTTTGTTGAGGCCTCTGATTCCGTCTGTCCTCCTTCACCGTCATCCTTGAGAGAAAAGTCTATAGCGTCTCCATAAATCCTCTCAGTAGATGGATCGATAACTTCCGTAGGTACAAAAATATTTAGTTCGTCTGTCACCAAGTCTTCGTCACTTAAGGGTAAAATTGGGGCGTTCTTGTCAGTAGCAGTGTCTGTGTTGGATTCAGCAGCTTCTGGGATAGTGGTGGTTATTTCCTCTGAACGGAGGAGCTCAGGGACGTGAGTAGTAGCTTCGAGGAATTCGCGATCTGTGGTGTTATTTATGTCTTCAAAGTGTGCGTCCTTAAGTGACCCAGGAACTTCTGTCTCTGTTGGTGGATTAACGGTCGTTTCTTGATCTTGGTTCTCTTGACTTTCCGTTGTAATGCCGTCTACTTCACCAACGCGTTCTGTTTGTGTTTCGCTGTTTCGAATGGCAGAAAACTTATCTGAAGCTGTCAATGGAGGCAGTACTTGCGTTGATATTATCTGTTGGTCCCGATGACCCACCTTATCCAGGTGGTGTGTTGTGTCCCCTTCCTGATTAACAGGAGATTGGTGCTCGTCCAGGTCACCTTCTTGCTCATGGTGTATCTCAGTAGCATTGGCATCATTAGTCAGGGTTCCTTGTTGAAGAGACAGCGTGTTGTCAGCATCATCACCATCGTCAACATAGTCATCCTCTGTCTTATAATCGTAGACAATCGAATCTTCTAAAAACACCGTGTTGACACCGAGGCCTTCGCCCGGCCGCTGCTTGTGAGAGCCTTCGCTGCTTCGGTTCGGGTGAGTGTGGTTCGCGGCATCTACTTCTGTTTGCGAAGACTGGGTCGTCGTGGGAGGCTGGGAGGTCAGTCGAGCGCCCACTGAGTAATACAAGTCACCCTGACTCTGCTTAACAGGCGCCGGTTCCTTCCTTTGTCCTCCGGTCTTCAAAGTGTTGCTACTTGACCGGCTGGTGGTACTGGGGGATGGTTTTACTGTTGTCGTCGTGCCTCTTCCTTTCACCTTTACTCTTGCTTCTCCATCTCCCTTTCCCCCTACTTTCACTTCTCCTCTCTTAGGGATGATGTCCACGTTGAGGAATTCATCTTCGGAACTCCAGAACTTCAAGACCTTCTTTTGGCCGCGGCTGACTATGATGTCCTCTCCGCACTTCAACGAAACACCTGCCGAAGAGAAAAGAAAAAAGTAAAAATAAATGTACTGATTTCAACGAATGAAAGGTATTTACCGATATATGTATTTGTGTCTTGTGATCCATTCGCTCTTGAAAACACTATCTAAACGTTTAACAAATTCATATAACGCTAAATATTTACTTGTGTAAATGTGTGTATACAACTGTGATAGCCTGCTTGCGTATACATATACTTATAAACATTTTACATGCATGCAAATAAAGTGAATATATACAGACGCAACGATAGATTTGAAGGCTTTCATAAACAGTTTATATGTTTGCAGATATACAAACAGACAAATCACCAGTATTCATCAGTACCGCAATTAACATGGATAAGACGAATCGTTAGTCTCAAAAATAAACATAGAAGTAATTATTTCATGAACGTCAATGACATGATTTATATCAGCACCAAGGTAATAAGATGAGGCAAGTGAGAGAGAGAGAGAGAGAGAGACAGATAGGCAGACACAGGGAAAAAGTAGGAAGGAGAGAGAGAGAGAGAGAGAGAGCGAGTATGGGAAGGAGAATGGATTTACAGAGACAGAGACATAAGCAAGACAGGGAGAGCGATAGAGCTTAAAGGCTGAGAAAGGACCCTCCATTACGATCTTTACCCCCCGAGGATACGCTATCACCTGCGTGGCATAAGAAGGATGAAGAAGGACCTGTGCTTACACCTTCCCTGGGGAGGAGTGAGCCACATCCTCGTACTTGACTAACCAAGCGGTAAGGACGACCGCGAGCGTCTTACCCCCACCCCCCACCCACCCACCCTCACTCCCAGCTCCTTCATTCGTTACCCCCTTAACCCTCATACTTACTCCCCATCCCTCTACCCACCCCCTAACCTCAACTCACTCCCCTCCCCTCATCTCCCACCCCCTAACCTTCATACTCACCTTCCCCTCCCCTCCTTCCCACCCCCCTAAGCCTCATACTCACCTCCTCCACCCCCTTCCCCCCCCGCTAACCATCATACTCCTTTCTTCTCCCCACCCCCTAACCCTCATACTCCCTCCTCCTCCCCACTCCTCTCTCACCCCTCATTGTAAACCTCTTCCAACTCATCATCCGTTTTACTTCCTCCTTGCCTTCCCGTCACACCTGCACCTGCTCCTTCTGGTAGATTCAACTTCTCTTTTTCTTCTTTTTGATACACAAACCCGAGGAAATTACGTATGACTCGGTAAAGAAAGAGAGAGAGATGAACCGTAATTTTGTCAAAAAAATTTAAGCCTATTTTTCGTACTCTATGTTTTATTCCATAATGTGTTCCGATGTGCGTATGCTGACTTGGAACCGCCATGCATAAGTTATGCTAATTCTGACTGCTTCTATTTCTTCCTTTTCATACATAAAACCGAGGAAATTATGCACGTCTCGGTAAAGAGAGAGAGAGAGAGAGAGAGAGAGAGAGAGAGAGAGAGAGAGAGAGAGAGAGAGAGAGAGAGAGAGAGAGAGAGAGAGAGAGAGAGAGAGAGAGAGAGGCATCGCAATTTTGCCAAAAATAAAAGAATAAAGCCTATTTTTCGTTCTATATCTTTATTCCGTAATGTGTTCCAACGTCTGCGCATGCTGACTAGGAACCGACATGCGTAAATTAGGCTAATTTTGCGTCCGTCGCTGTGCTTGATTTTGCGTAAACATCATCCATCACCTGGTTCCGTGACATAAAACTAGACCATTAAAGAGATATTATTTTGTATGTTATGATCATTATCGTTTATTATTGTTGCCAATATCGTGTAAATCTTATATTTTTTGTTATTTTTATTATTCATTTAGTATCTGTATTTTTACGATGCAAATGGAAATCCACAAAATCGTCTTGGAATACCTTAGAAACATAATAGAAAATAATGATAATTAATGGCGCGTTACGGCTGATGAAAAATAAGTATCGGGTATATTTTATTTCATTCTAATTTTCACTTTTACTTATTTATTATGATTACTATTATTATTCAACTATCTTAAACGGAAATCCACACAATCGTCTTCGAATACTCTGGAAAGAAAACCCGATGATAATAAATAGCGCGTTACTGCTGACTTAGCGTGGTGACATGTTTACAACTGAGCAGTCACTGGACTAATGAAGGTATAATTACGGAAGGACAGACCACAGGAAGACACATATAAAACTGAGAGAGAGACGGGGAAGGAGGGGGAGAAGGAGGCTGGGGGAGAGAAGAGACCAAGATGGAAGACATGCAGAAAGAGAGACGGACGGACAAATAGACAGAAAGCGACAGACAGGCAAACAAAGAGGATAGAGAAAGACAGACTGACACACAGAGAAGACAAAGAGAGAAAGAGACAGAGAGAGACAAACAGAGAAGAAGACAGAGAGAAAAAAATAAAAGTAAAATAAAAGAATCTCATGCGGCGAATGTCACGCCTCAGCTCCGGTTTGTGGTTTGTGTTTACCTTTTCGTTTCCCATTTTCTTTCTTTCCGTTTCGCTAACGTCATGCGAAATTTAACCGCTGATAACGAGCGTAAGAAGGAGAAAACAAGAAATTCGTCTCTAGGTCCACTTCTTTGATAAAAACATTAGTTTTAGATTTGCTGAATCATTATGACCAATATACTTTGCGTTCGTAGTAAAAAGAAATGTATAAATGTTTCGACTAAATTACTTGATGATTGTATATAATTTTGATGAAGATTTAATCGAAAATACATATCTTACGCTCTAAAATACATCATTCTCATTCATATAATTAAACTCCACCTTTATAAGGTATATATTAAGACGTAAAAAGAATGAAACGAAAAAAAAATCAAGATGCAATTATTTAAGACCACATCGGCCCCTGGATAACGTGAAAAACACAATCTAAACAAAACTGTCAGATGCAAATGACACTGACTCGAACTACAGCGTATACCCTGAACGCACGTCGCCCAGCTGCCGCGCCTGTCAACAGCAGTAGCAACAGCAAGAGCAACAGTCATGCCTCTTCTGCAACTTGGGTCCAAGACGCAGGAAGCGCGGCATAATATTTTCATCGCAAGCATTCTTCGGGGCGCAACAATCTTGTGACTTGACGTAAATAAGCATAATGGAGGAAGCCTTTTTTACGTGGCTAATGACATCCCTATTGAGTTTGAGATTTGAGTCTGGCCTTGAAGGCAACAATCCACCAATTTTGAAAATTATATAAATATTAGTTTGTTATTTTTATTTTTATTTCTTCTAAGAGTAAGGAAATGCTCACTTATATATGTATGTATGAGCGTACGTTTTTTTTTTTTTTTTTTAATGCGTCACAGTGTTGGAGTATATGTGTTTGTGTAGTTATACATAACAAGAAACTCATGTATGTCGATAGCCAGATAGATAGATAGATAGACAGATAACTAAATAACTAAATACGAAACAAATATTCATATGGAAATCCTCCCCTGAAAATGTACAAAAAAATGTATTCAATCCCCCCCCCCCCATCTGTAAACAAGCCCGCGGTAAACGGTCCTAAGATGCAAGAAGCGCTCATCTGCATCCGGAGGTGACGCCCGCAGCTGATTATTAAGTCGTCAGCGCAGAGGAGACATAAAGGGCCGTGTGGGCTGAAAAGGAGGAGGAAATGAGAAGGAAATGAGGGAGGGTCTTGGTGGGTGGAGGGGAATGTGGGGGGTTAGAGGGGGGGGGAGGCGTGCGTGCTTGAGGATGCGTGACAAAATAGTTATGATAATGAGTATCGCTTTTAGGCATGTTGATAAGTACGGGGTCTTTTAAGCCCTGTGATGCTACGTATATCTAGGAGGGGACGAAACAGTGCGTGACAATGCACCAGTGCTTTTGAAGGCACAGCTTAACATTAAACACTATAAGTCCTCGAACATACTTTCATCGACTGATTTCAAATATTTGTGAGAGATATTGTCTCTGCGAATGAGAAAAATGCTATTTGCTGAAATATGAAATGGCGAAGTATATGAACATGCTTTTTCTTTATTTTTTGCAGCGTAATGGTATGTGTGGATTTGTTTGTAAGTTACCGCTGTGTATATTTATTTGTGTACGAGGCGTCAATAAGCATTTGTGTGTGTGTGTTCCTTCACCTGTCTGGGTAAAGAGTGAGCGAAGTGCAGGTAACTTGTGTGAGTGCATGCGCAAAGGCTGCAAAGAAAGAGAGAACGGAAGAGAGAGAGAGAGAGAGAGAGAAGGGAGGGAGGCGAGGGAGAGAGAGAGAGAGAGAGAGAGAGATAGATTCAGAGAGAGAGAGAGAGAGATAGATAGATAGAGAGAGAGCGAGAGAGATAAGAGAGAATGAGATAGATAGACGGATAGACAGAGCGAGAGAGAGAACCGCAATTTTGTCAAGAGAGATACATAAATATGTAAAAAATACACATATATGTAGGCCCATAGATGAGTGACTCCGAAACTGCTTGCGTCTAAGACAGGGCGTAACATGGAAGACAGCCCTGTGTAGTCGTGGGCGTGCGAACTTTGAGGTGGGCGTAGTGCAAGTGTTTAATGACCACACATTACCGAACCACGCAGCCCACCGTCTCGATCTGCGTGGTTGGTAGTGTGCCTGAGGCGTCTCAGTGGAAGCTCAGGATTAGAGGAATGAGAGTGAGTATTGTGTGAAAAATGAGAGTGTGGAATGAGGAAAGAGGTGGAGGAGGAGGAGGAGGAAGAGTTGGGTTAGAGAGAGAGGCGGGGGAGGGGGGGGGGGCAAACAGACAGACAATGGGAGAGACAAATAGAAAGAGATAGTATGAGGTAGAGACATACAAACATACAGATAAAACAGTAAGATTGGGAGAGAGAAGAGGAAGGGAGAGAGAAAGAAGGAGCAAGGAGGGGACAGAAACAGATATACAGACAGACAATGGGAAAGTTAGACAAATAAATGGAGAGCGGCAGAGTGGGAGAGAGACATACAAACAGACAAATAATTTAGAGATTCGGAAAGACAAGATAGAGAGAGAGAGAGAAGAAGAAAGAAGCTCTTGTAAGTAA